CAAGTAAGAGCGTACAGCCTTAAAATGGTTGTTGTTGTTGTTGTTGCTGTTGCTGTTGTTGTTTGTTGTTGTCGATTATGCTGGTGATGATGATGATCATGATGGTTAACCAGAATTTGATGATGTTGGTTGTTGTCGTGGGAGGAGGGTAGAAGAGGATGATGAGGGCCGCCGCTGTCTCAGCTAGTCTTCCCTCGTGGGGAGGTGGCAGTGGCCACCCCGCATCCCGGACCCCCGGAGGCCCTCCAGAGAATTCTGGAGGCCGCCGGAGGCCCAGAGTAGGGCCCAAATCGGGCGTGGCGTCATGGGGGGCGATAAATCGGTGTGTGTGTGTGTGTGTGTGCGTGTGGGGGTGACGCAAGGGCTCCAAAGCAAGGGCTCCACAGGGGTCCCCATGGAGCCCAAAGGGGGACTAAAGGTGCACGTTTCTCCCCCCCCGTTTGACGTGTCCCATGAAGCAGCGCCGAGCTGAAAGGTCCCACTCCTTTCCGGGAGCGTTCAGAGGCCTCCCTCCTCGGGCCCAGAGGGTCGGGGGTAGACAGAGCTCGGCCGCGGGAGGTGCATGGCGACGCGCCTGGACGGCAGCGCAGGACAGGTGCCGAAGTGCGAGATCAAGGCCCACAGGCACTGAGAGAGGGGAGCGCGGCCCTGGGGCGGCGCGGGCGGGGGGCAAGAGAGTGGCACCCACCCAGGAGCAGGAGCAGGGGGAGGGTCAGGAGCAGGAGCAGGAGGAGGAGGAGGGGGAGGAGGAGGGGGAGGAGGAGGAGGAGGAGGAGGAGGAGGAGGAGGAGGAGGAGGAGGAGGAGGAGGAGGAGGAGAGGCTCAGGAAGAGGAGGCAGGTCTCCCCTCGGGTGGATGCCTCTCTCTGGCCCCCAGCGCAGGTTTAATCGCGGTGCTGTGGTCATTCTACTTCCCCTCCCTCCTCCTTCCTCCTCCTCCTTCTCCTCCTCGCCCCTTCCCCTCTTCTCCTCCTCTGCCCCATCCTCTCCTTCTCCTTCTCTGGTATCTGTGAACTGCTTACCCCTAGATCGAGCCGTCGTGCATCAATCGCGCCGCGCAGGTCCGCCCAACCTGTTCGGCCTTGAGCCTTGCATGCGTGGGTTGGGCAGGAACAAAAGGAGTATCGGTGATGCTCCGCCGTCCAGAGCCCTTCGGCGCGTTAGTCCCTCAGCATGGTGCTCCTTCCTCCTCGGGAGCACGCGGATGGGTTCCTCACGGCGGCGTGTCATTGATGCTGTGGTTGCCCCCCTCCCAGTGGGGACAGGCGCCTCGAGCGCGCTGTGGACCGTGGAGCAGGCCGCGGCGCGCCGCGCAGCTGGCGGTGGCACCTGGTGGGGCTGCGCTGCCCGAGCTGCGCCGCGGGTGCTGTGGCCCCGCTGCCCCGCTGCCCCAGCCACCGTGCGGTAGGTTCGCGTCGTGTCGACTGGTGGCGACCCCGCTTCGGACGTTCAAGGTTGAACGCCGCCAGTGGCCCAGAATCGGCCTCTACATGGAATGATCGGGCGATCGAAAAGCCGCCGATCGTTCAAGGTTGGACGATCCACGCGGTGTCAGAAACCAACGCCGGGACCGGCACGACACGACCTTGCCGTGCGCCCGTGGCCCGCGCGCGAGATGCGCTGGCCGCCGCCGAGCAGACGGCCCGCCAGGCGGCCAGGCTCGCCCTCGCCAGAGGTACCCCTCGTGGGGCCATCGCGCCGCGCCCGCGGGCAGAGCGCTGGAGGCCGAGCGGACGGCGGCGCCACGACCTGTCGGACCAGGAACGGCTGCGCCGCCCGCCGCTCGCGCCGAGCAGGGGGCCCATACGCGGTCCGGTGCCGCTGGCTGCGGCCCGACTTCGTCGGGGTGCACAGTCTCGCCGGCGCCGCCTGGCGCGCGCTGCTGCAGAGACGCTGCCGGGTGGGCGATGCAGCTGCGCCTGCGGCACACGGCTGCGCCGCTTCGTCACCGAGCAAACCGCGGCCGCGGCCTGCGGCGCGGAGGCCGCGCGTCACGGCGCCCCGCAGCTGGCGGCGGTTTTTGATTCAGTGGTGCGGCGGTCATGAGCAGGCCAGTTTCCACGAATTGGATTGGCGCCGCGGCTGGAGCGGGCCTGGGAGGAGCCGTGCATCCGCTCGAGTACGGTGCGGGTGTGATGATCGCCGAAGACTGCGAGGGCCAGCTGCGGGCCGCATCATTGGCGGGCGAATGTGTGGCGCTGCCGCTGGACGTTGCCATCATGCTCGCAGATTCGGAGCACACCGTGGCGATGCCAACCGTTCCGATCTCCATCTCGCGCGGTGTTCTCACCATGTAGCTGCTGGCAGACAGCGTCCCGTTGCTGGCTGTGTGCTTCGTCAGCGCGGCGGACCCGCACATTTGCCTGCCAGACGAGGACGGCCAACAGTGCAAGGTGGCAGTGGTTCGAGTGGGCCTGACAGGAGGGCATTCGCTGGAGGCGCCCACCGGGGGCTTGGCGTGGTCAGCGGACGGCCGTTGGCAAGCAAACGGCTTGCGCCCTGGTTCCGACCGCAGACTCGCTGCCAGAGGAGATGCGGGTGGGTGACGCGTGGCCAGGCCACAAGTACAGATGCACCGTTGGTGCCCATCACTTACGCCCTGAGCCCGACGGACCTCGGCGCAAGCACGGACAACGCTCGCGCTGGGCGAGGGGCCAGCAGTCCGCCCAGGCGGGCTGGCGGCGCTAGAGCGTCGTGCGCCGCCTGGCAGGACGGGCGCTGGTGCGGACAGCGGGCGCATTGGCGCATGCCGCCGCTGGCGCAGGTGGTGGGTTGAGCTCCAGCCCGCCGCTGGCGCAGCCGCCAGGGCGCACGGGCGGCGCCTCCAGCTCCGAGCGGTGCCGAGGACGAGGGCCCGCCTGCGTGTCTGACGAGGCAGGCGACAGTGCACCTCCGCGCTAGGGGGGCCAGCCGAGGCCCGCCGCGGCGTCGCCGCGGCAGCGGCCGGCCAGGCTCGACGCCAGCAGCCAAGACGTGCTGAGCAGGATGGGTGCGCAGGAAGCTGCAGGCCTGAAGTGCGCCCAGGAGCTGGCCTCGGCGTTGGTGGCGCCGCGAGGCCCGCGCGCCCCTGGGCGCTGCAAGGTGGTCGCGCTAGCGGAGGAGGCCGCGGCGTGATCGCCGCGGTGCTGCGCGTGGCAGGGGCGCCTTCCCTGGCCCGCTGCTGGGTCGCGGGGTTGGCGGGCGCGCCTTTGGCCGCCGCAGCGCGCGTTGCCGCGCCTATGCCTGCGGCGGCGTCGCCTCGCGCCAGGCTGGCGCGCGCGCGCGCCGCCCAGGCGCGGCGCGCGACCGTGCAGGTGCCGCGCGCCCGCGGGCCAACTTCGCCGCGCGCCGTGGCGTCGACGCGGCGGGCGCAACGAAGGGCTAGGTCTAGAGGTCGCGCGAGGGCCCCGAGTCGTGCGGGCGGGGCGTGCAGCGGGACCTCTGTGGCCTCGGCCGCGTTTGCCTCGCCCGCCCCGGGCGCGTCGCCGCCCCTGCGGTGCGAGGGTGCGGCCCTCACCGAGTCGGCCGTGCTCTGCGCTGCAGCGACGCGACGACGGACCTGAGGGCGCGGGCGAGCAGCTCGGCGCGCGCGTGGCTGCCGGCGTGGAGATGACCCGCGGGGACTTGCAGGCGTGGCCGCTGGCGGGAGGGACGTCGAATTGGACCGCGCGCGTGGCGGACCAGATAACTATGCAGCTCGTTCGTCGAAAGAAGTCGCCTTGCCGTTGCTGCTGACTGCGCTGGGCCAGGCCGACGGGGGCGACGGCGGGCGGCAGCTGGCTGTGCTTCTGTCCCGCAAGGTCCCCCTGGAAGCTGATGGTAGCGGGCGGCGGCGGACCGGTCGGGCCCTCGAGGCCTTTCGGGAACCTTGCAGCTTCGACGCCGCATCGGCAGTGGCCTTGCGCGATTGCCGAGACCAGGAATGCGTGAGATTCGCAGCCCTCGCCGAGCAGGGGTGCCCTGCCGAGTGAGCGGCCGCGGCCGTGAGTGCAGCCGCGCGCGCTCCTCGAATTCAGAGGGCTACTTCGCGGAGACGCGCCGGGAGATCTGGCGCGCTCTGCCCCCGCGCGCGGTCGTGCCCTTCGGCGTGGACCGCGCGCAACTGTGAAATGAGGGGGCCACTTGTTGACGCTTCGCGTGTCCCCACCAGCTTTGTTCCGTCGCCCTGGGCATCGCTGTTGCCGCCAGACCGTTGTCGAGCGGCCGCCGACCAAAAAAGTGCCCCCACCAGCCCATCCAGAAACGATGCCCAGGGGAGTTAAGGTGATCAGGGAAGAGGGGGGGCATGCAGAAACAAAAACAACGGGCTGGGGGAGCCGTCGTAGACCCCAAAGAGCGGAAGGATGTAGGAGGAATTATCGTCGTCGTCGTCGTCGTCGTCGTCGTCGTCGTCGTCGTCGGAGGAGGAGGAGGGAAGAGGAGGAGGAAGGATGAGAAGGAGGAGGTGGAATGGGGCGAGGACGAGGAGGACAAGAAGGAGGATAACGAGGAGAAGGGGGGAGAGTTGGATAACTTGAGGCCTCGTGTGGGTTCTCCTGGGGGCCTCTAGGAGGCCTCTCGTGGCCGTCTGGGCGCCTCTTGGGGCGCTCTTGGGAGCTTCGGGGGCGCTTTTGGGGCCGTCTTGGAGGGCGTCGGTCAAAACAGAGGGTGGCTCAAATTATCCCCCCCGGACCCCGGGGGCGCCGAACATCGCTTCCTAGGCCCCTCTCTTGGTGTGCTCTTAGGCGCTCTGGGGGCCGTCATGGGGCTCTTTTGGGCCTCTCCATGGGCTCGCTTGGGCCATCTTGGAGCCATCTTGAGGCCTCGGATGGCCGTCGGAAGCGAACAGGCGAGAAAGCAACCATGATTGATTTTCGGGGGTTTAGGAAGATTTTGTCTTCTTGGGGGCCTCCTTGGAGGTTTCGGACGCCTCTTGGAGCCGTCTTGGAACGTTCTTGGAGCTTCTTGGGGAATCTTGGGAGCCATCTTCAGGCATCGTGCGCTAGCTTGAGCCATCTTGTAGCTCTTCTTGGACTCCTGGGGGCCCTCTTGGAGCCGTCTTGGGGCATCTTGGACGCTCCAACGCCTCGCGGCCCTCCCGTCCAGGCCCAGGGGGGGGGTGGAAGGGTAAACCCCCGCAGGGGAGAAATGGTTTGGAAGAAGTTCTCGCCTACTCCACCTACGCCCAGAGGGCCGGTGGGATTTCGATCCCGTCGGCCGCCCTTGTTCGAGGCCGCGGCCTACTTGGACCTGGTGCTGGCGCAGAGGGGCGAGCGGCAGCGTTGCAGGCTCTCGCCGACGCCGCAGGCAGGGGCCTCCAGCGAGATCGCCGCCATCGTCGCCAACCTCGTCGCGCCGAGGGGGTGCAGCAAGTGCAGGTGCGCAATGTGATTCCCGTGTTCTGGGAAGAGGCGCGCGACGGGGTCGTCTGGGATTCGGCAGATCCGCAATTCGTGGGGGTGCTCGACGCGGACACTCAGCTGGCGCTTCGTGTCAGATTGCGATGTGGTTGTCTGTGAGCTCTTGGTGGAGGTGGCCCCACTTGGGTTTGCGGGGGGCGTCTCCGATTGCCGCCCCGTCCGCTGCTACCGGAGTGGCGCGCGCCAGGCCTGACGTCGTGCATGGGTGGGCGCCCGCCCGCTTGCTGCCGCCCGCGTCGGCGTTCGCGGCCCGG